TCGCCGCCCCTGACGTCTGTGTTGTGAGACCTGCTGGGCACGTGTAGCAGGCCGTCTGCTGGGTGTCATTCCCGTAGCTGCCAGCTGGACAAGGAACGCACTCCACCTGCCCCTCCTTGTCCTGGTATCTCCCCGAAGGACAGGCAGCGCAAGACACGTTCCCCTGCTCCTCCACTCCGAACTTGCCGACGGGACAAGCTTCGCATAAGGTTCGATTCTCAGATGAAGTCTTGCCGACCTGGCGGAGGGGAGGGGAGGGGCAAATGGCGATAAGCGAGTGGACGGACTAGGAAAGTAGTACTGTTAGGCCAAAATCTTTGACAATAATGATCGTCCACAAAACTTTGAAGGAGATTGAATACTTTGAGGGAGATTGAGATTCCAGCGCGTTCTTTCATAGGCTGATATGAACTTTCCGAATGAGAGTACAGAAAGTGTGGAAAGGATCTACACCGATACCTGCTAACTCTTGTATCATCGACAGACAAGTGTGTTGAAGGCACAGGCGATCGTCAATGGACTGGTCGAATAGAAGCTGGGGGCGATAAAGAGGAGGAGGGGAAGGGGAAGGGGAAGGGGAAGAGGGGGATGAGGTGTGGGGTTTGCGATCGGCCTGATCTTGTCACAGGTCACTCAACAAGGTTGGAGAGCTGAGAGGGCACGAGTCAAGGTCTTTCTTGCCCTCTCACCGCAAGTACTCACCCTTGCTCCTCCTACAGAGTGTTTTCTTGCTGCTTCAGCCCAGTGGATGAAACGTTGTTAGCGACTTGCTCCGAAGACAACACGTGCCGGTATGGGATGGTTCGGATAGTTTCTGTTGTCCTCTCCTCACGTCGGCAACGATGTAGAGTGTGGGATATCGCGCATTGTGAACAGCTGAAGATCCTGCGCGGGCATGCAGAAGCGATTTATGCTGTGTCATGGTCCCCCGATGGAAGGTGGACGCTATCTCTGTTAGTTGTGATGGAGCTGTGAGTGAAAGATGGGGAGGGGGAAATATAGTAGACGAGTGAATGGATGGTAACGATGGTCTGACAGATGTTCGTCTATGTTGCTGATATTGTACAACATGATGATGATGATGATGATGATGATGATGATGATAATGATAATGGCTGTAGTGATGGTGTCGGTGTTGGTGGACTCATTCTCGTTCAAGGTCTGTGTTGACAGCTGGATCGGATGGAGAGATCAAAATTTGGGATTGGAGGAAAGGAAAGGAGATCAAATCCTTGAAGCCGAAAGGTGGCCTTGGGACTGTAACGGGGGGAGTTAATGATGCTCATTGGGCAGGGGACGTGTTTGCTGCCTCCTATGTGGACAACGGCAACATCGTGAGTGCTGCTGACAACGTTGTGTCCTTGTGGGACCTGGAGGCTGGGTGCATCATCAAGGTAAGGCGGAGCAGGTGAAGTGAGTCCGCTCCTCTCAACCTCGCTCCTCCGCTGCAGGAACGAACGATCAACGCTGAGACAGACTACGTCTTTGGGGGTGAGAGCAGGAACCCTGACAAGATCCCATGGTGACGCAGCTCTGCCTGTGGATCGCGGCCTGAGGGAGCTGCCAGGGTCTTCTGCCTAGAGCGCGATATGCAGAGGAAAGGCTTTGTGCTCGGGGTGAGCGACGCGACTATCCGATACCTAGATCATGATTTGGAGGTAAGAACACCGCGTGTGTCCCCTGTCTCTTCCTCCTCGTCTCCTTGGGACTCGACTCTTCTCCTGCTTCTTTTGCTCTTACCCTTCATTGTTTGTTCACAATCGTATCACCTTCTCCCTTGTATCGTCCTCCCTCCCCTCCTCTCCTCCCAGCATGTTCAGCTAGCGGGGCCAGGAACGAGTTGTTCTCCGCGGTCACTCGAAGGACGTCTGCTGTCTCTGCATGAAGGACGACGGGAGCGAACTGCTATCAGGGTCAGGAGACCACCTCACAGGTAGCGTGCAAGTCGTTTGTTCTGTGTTGGTATGAAGATTCATGGAAGGCGTCTGGGATCTTCGACAGCTTCAAGCGAGGATTGTTCTGAGGGGGTGAGAGGAGGAAGAGGAGCAGAGTTTGATCTCCTCTAAATCTTCCTTTCACCTATAGCCACCAGAACTCAGTACATGACTGCTGTTACTGGCCGGGTCGGAACAGAGGCTGGGGCCATTCTTGGCGTGTTCACGTATGAAGCAGGTTCGAACAACATCTGCAGCGTCTCCATGGACAAGACCATGAAGATTTGGAACGGGGATGATGGAAGCTGTTTGCACACGGACGGCCCTGGAGCCACGGTGCCGTTATACCATCTTGTTCCTACCATCTTGTTGTGTACATCTCGCTGTTGGTTTACTTGTCGTTGTGATATCTGCCCAACTTCCTCTCCTATCTCTTTCTTCGAGCCTCCCTCTCTCCCTCCTCTCTTGTCTTCTTTTACTACTTTCATCCCCTTCCCCAGCCTGTTCACATCAACTCTCCTCTCCTCCCCCTGTCTCCAGTTCGATTCTTGTCCTCGATCTTGACTCTGCCTGCGGAAAATGTTCGCAATACAGGCCAAGTTGTGCATAGCTCCTTGCAAAGGGCTTCAGGGCGTCGTGGTGGGAGGAGGAGAAAACAAATCTCTCTTCGGCCAAGATTTCAGGTCTAAGGACAAAACGTCTCCCATTGCGAGGGTTAATATGGAAGCAGGCTTCTGCTGCTTTCCTCCGACGGAGAAGTTCTGCAGAGACTGCAGAGTCGAGCGCAGAGGAGGAGCATGGAGCCGGAAGTGGAGGGGAATGGAGAGAAGGGGGAGGAGGAGGGAGAGGAAGAAATAGATGAGTCCCTCCAAGGGATGCTAGACGAGCTGGAGGAGAAGGAGGTTCTGCTGCAGGCCATGAAGCTGGAAGAGGAGGATATTGAGGACCTCTCGCTGAAAGAAAGATTGAACGTGAGACTTTCTACCTCCTCAGCTTCTCTCCTGACGGTCACTCCAGATGAGCAAGTCAATGCGAGGGATGGCAGACAGTGTTAAGGGTCATGCAGGTGATGGGGATTGTACTGCTGTGGGTTGCAAGGGTGGGGCAGAAGGAACATCTGATGCTGGTGCATATCATGTGTGGCGATTGAGGTTGCTGTCATATGCAATGAGGATGCGACTTGTTGTTGTACTGCTTTGTTGACTCGGGAGCAGATGAGGTGCTACGTTCGAGATTCATCAAACTCTTGCAGTCGCAGGCTCAGCGTCTCCTCTTCGACATTGACGAAGACTCTCCGAAACATGCACAGGAGGAGCTCGAGCGAGTGCAGAGCATGCTGGGGAATGGAAACACGGGTTCCTAACGACATGTTTGTAATCACACCAATCGAAAAAATGGACACGCCTGCCGAACTTTCGCTCTGCAAGTCTTGACATGTACATGTGGACCTTCCTAGCGGTCCTCAGGCTTCAAGAGGCTTCCCTACGAAGCTGTCGATCTTCGCCGGGTTCCGTGGGATAGCACGAGAACCCAGCAACGTCCGCGCGATCTCCGAAGTAGCAGTTCTGAGGTCAAGTCAGAAGATGAACGACAGGAGACGATGTGTTCTCTTACCCATCCGAATACTCCTCGTAGTTCTCCATCAGCCTCTCGGGTGACACCAAAGTTCTGCAGAAAGACTTGCAATTCAACATCTGAACAGCAAAGTTAGTTTCATCTCTTCTCCCTCAAGAAGCTGCTCACCGCTTGCCACCAAAGATGCAACCTCGCATATTCCTCAGTGTTGGGCACTTGAAAGTTCCGGTATGGACCCAGCACACAGAGAAAGCGGAACCACCATGGCGCAAGAGAGAGGTCGGCGAGACTGTATCGTCCCTCCCCCAAGAAGAATCCAGACGATGAAATGGACAGCATGAAGTTGTTTGCATATCTCAACCCCGCCAACAGCTTCACATGAGCATCTTCTCTGCCCGCTTGATCCGCTGTCATTAAAAGTCTGCAAAGTGGGTCAGCAACGGTGTTTTCAGAAATTTTCATCGTTCATGTCACCGGTAAAAGCAAGGGATCACTTGGCTGCTGATATGCTCCCAGAAGATCCTTACTTTGGTTCTTTCTTGCACGTTCCAAGGCTGCAAAATCCCATGATTCCTTCCATCGTCTGTACGTTGTCGCGATGGCTCGAAGACGTCGGAAAGATATTCACAAATCACCATACTATCATTTACACCGAATCCATCGTGATTGATGGCCTGCAAAGAAATACAATAAGCCAAGCGCGATAAAGCAAGGAGAGATAGCTCACCGGAACCAACCCTCGTGGGCTCACATCCACAAAATCAGGGTATTGCTGACGCTTGGCATCGATTGAAAGCGGTTGTTTTGTGCAACCACCATCACTACGAGTTTCATAAGGGTTGATTTCAATCCACTGGTACTGAATGATGTCTCTCTCTACCAATTCTTCCAAATAGGCCCAAACGCGCTGAGCAAACGGGCAGAACCAGGAGCTATACAGCGTGATATCGGGGTTGGTTGTTTGCTGCCTGCAAAGAATCGTTTCTTCGCCCCCCAGATGTATGGAGGGAGAAATGTCGATACGCATGCCGGAAAGAGAGGACCCTTGTGCTAGGTTCAGCAAGGAGCTTATCTTGTGGCTAAAAGCAGGCGCTGAGAGATCAGACAAGCTCCAACAGCAAGGAACAGAATCGTGGCGATGCAGGAGAGCTGAGAGGAATGGGGCTGAGAGGGAGGTGGTGCAGGACGATATTCAGATACGCGCAACAACTAGAGAAGGGACGTGCAACGACATCACAAGAGCTTTGTATCCATCTCACCGCGCGGATGGGGGAGACAACAGTGGAGCCACCTGATATCCGTAGGACCAGGGGGTACGGGGTGGTCTCAAAGAGAAAGCAGGGGTAGGGGTATCTTGAGGGGCAATATATAGTACCCTCAAATTTTGCTTGCAATGAGGGGTGGTGAGGGTACTTGTTTTGAGCTTGATTTCCATGGGGGTGTGCAATTATTTTTGAGGGTAGGGGTGTTTCAAAAGGGGGTAGGGGTACCTTTTCGTCAATCCAAGAAGTCAATCCAGTCAATTAGGAAAATAATTTATATGAAGAAAGGGGTACTTGTCAGTAATTATGGGGGTAGAGTGCAGGAAATGCAAGCATTGATGCGGGTCGAGGTCACGGTCCCACCTGATGGGTGGTAGGGGTATTTTATGAAAGGGTAGTGGGTAGTAGAGGCGGTGTGTAGTAGCATAGTTTGGAATGGGGCGAAAAATGAAAAATGAATGTGGGGTGGTGGGTAGTGACCCCACCCATGTTGCTTAGGACGAGCCCAGTCACACAAGAAAAGGACCCCTCTTTGTGAAACCTGGAGATCACAGTTTGTCACGGGTGAAGGGAGGTCAATCCGAAACAGATAGGTTTGGAGCCTCAACCCCTTTGCCTCAATCAGACGGTAGGGTAATCATTGTACCCCTCCTTTTCATATCGCATCGTAACAGAATACCAGGGGTACAGAAATCGTATCACGGGTCCATAATTAGGTAGGGATGGAATAGATCTGAAAACGAATCGCTTTGAGGATGTACCGGGAGGCCCCGCTTCGCTTTACAATCATTTTAGTCCAAACCCCTCAATTACCACCCACCCCACCGTGATGGGTAGTTTGCTTTACACACTGCTTTTAACCCTACCCACAACGAATTGAGGTATAAGAACCTGGTAGTCTCTAATGTTGAGTTATACATTTCGCTTGTAACTGACCACCCACCCTCCTCCTTCAATTTGCCTTGTCCTATCTCTGAGGAGTCCTTGAGGGATGCTTGTGTGGTAAAAAAGGGATCTGATCCCGTTTTTATATTCTGAGTTTTAGACCTTCGAGGGCCATAGAAGTTCGACGGGTCTCGTCGACAGGATGCTTTTGATAATTTGACCCCTACCTTTTCCATGCTTTTGGTAGGTAGTGCCCACCTTGAAGAGATTTTTAAATCTAATTTTAGCATATCTGGGGAGTAGCGTGATTGTATCGCGCGAGAGAATGTCGGTCACGCGAGCGCCGTAACTGGATCTGGTGATTGAGCAGTACTGTGCCGTTGAAGGGATCCGAAGATGGCGGTATAAGGTGATCACGGAGGCCACTCTACAATTGTTTTTATCTGGGAAGGATCTGGATGGACGAAGAGCCTGATCTTTCGATTCGAAGAGTTGTGTGAGGTCACGAGCCCACTTTTCTATTTTTTTCTTTTTTCGTTTCCATTGTTTTTTTTGGTCTGGTATTTATTTGCCTCTGGTGACTATCTGGAGGACGATCTTGAAGATGAACGAGGGAGAAAACGAACGCGAAAGCAGCTAAAGATAGCACATGGCCATGATGTGAGATCACAATGAAACGTGAATCATGTTGTAGATGATGTGTAGTATATAATACCTGGACTTCTTCTTTGTATTTCTCCTGCATCGTGGCCAGTGCATCTTGTGAGAGTCAATGTAGGTATCCCAGACTTCACAGCAGTCAAGCGCATTTCGACAACTAGAACAAGCAGCGATGTGGTTACTTGCACACAGTATGATCAAACTTGAATGAATTCTCCATTCCCCCGATAGGTTGGGTCTAGCAGTTTCATTCTTATCTGTTGTGTAAAATTGGTGCGCAAGCAAGTGAGGTCTAAGTTTACTGTTTGATACATCCAATCTAGGTAGCTGCAGTTGATCGAATGTCTATGTAGGATAGTACATCTAGAGCTCATGTAGATATCAGGCATCAAATACGATACCAACCTTCGTCCTTGTACTCGACATGACACACCGAACAGCCCGTATCTATTCCATTGCAAACAGATCTTCCATGGTTGTGTGACAATTTTCAAAAGCTGGTTTGCTTATGTACTTGACCAAATTCGTTATCATTCATCTGTAGAGTTTATCAACTCATGACGTCGCTCACTGCATGATTAGCGATCGAAATTTGCTGGGATACTGATGTGAGAGTTTTACTGCGACACGCGCTGTTGATCGGCGAAAACTTCAGACATCAATAAATGACATCCGTGAGATTCCAACCTCAACCTCTCCCATGTAGGCAGTCTCAATGCGTCAAGGGTGACCCCATGTAGCTTTTGTCCGTGCACCTGAGCTTCCTTTGGGCTTTTGGCGCTTTGCCAACAGTTCCTGCATCGTAGCTTCTGTCTCCTTCTTCCTCTCTTATCTTATCCTCTATCTCTCTTCATTGCACCCGCTCGCCAGGCATCTTCCTTCTCTCTTGCTGTACATCTAATAAGCCTGCATGAAAATCTTCTTCAAGAATGACAATCCTTGAACGGTTATTGCACACTCAGCATAACTGTCAACTTGACGCAGACGGTCTCATCGTATCTTGACTTGGAACTCTGCTGACATTCTCTTGTTTGTGTGATTTTCTGATGTCCGATGTACTACTTCAAACACCGTCTCGGGGGGGCTGAGTTAACAAAACTTTGGGCCTATTAAGTTAACCAAGACGACTCTTACGTGTCACAGTGTCAGTGTTGCGAGGCGGCAATGTGGTATGTTTGACGAAGAGGAGGCCTTCCTAGCCGTAGTATGTCCTCTCATGTCCGGATGCTTGGCACGGTTGTTTCACACTGTCATGAGAGTCCCGGAGTAGTAGTAGCCTCCGGCATACACCTCAACCGGCGGCCGCGATTTATTACATGCAAGCAACATCCCTACACAACCGTACTGAGGGCCAGGCAGCTCCCTCCATTTCGGGGGCCTCCCTAGACGGCTGAGTGCCAGGCGAGTGCCGCGCGGCCGGGCCGCGGTCGGACTCGGCGGCGGCCCGATTCGTAGTACTCAGCCCGGCCTGAGTACTGAAGCAGTGCCAGGCACTTGCACTCATGTTTACACGACCGGGGGGATTCTCGTACAAGGTGGGTGGGTGGGTGGGTAAAGGGTTCTAGAAAAGGGTGGGGTGATCACATAGACAATATCTGTAGAATTGGGGGTGGGGTCACTAGTTTTGGCAGGTGATACTGGCTATCGGTCCTTGGGATCCCAGATTTTCTGGCGCGAAAAATGCTTGGAACTTCGTATGCCGCTGCCATTTCGGCAGATGCACACTTCACTCCTCCTCCTCCTCCTCATCTCCACATCTCATTACTGCCGATCCATCCATCCATCCTTTATCCGTCCTTTATCCATCCATCCTCCATCCTCCATCCACTTTATCCATCCTCCATCCATCCATCCATCCATCCCTGCCACTAATTTTCCCCCACGTCAACAAAGCAAGGGAATTGTACTTGTCTACATCTTTTCCCGGTTCTCATAAATCACTAGGACTGGTTGAGCATGCTTCACATCGTGCATATCGAATACATCCTTGAAACATGGTCAACGACCTGAACCTGTAGTTTATCACATCCTTCCTTTTCTACATGGCAGCTACTCGTCTGCAACCATTTTCCACTTGACACATCATCATGCATGTGGGTCTTGATTCTTTTGTGTTTGAGCCAGTCGTTCTGTATCAGTGATGTCTGTCTCTATCTCCCTCATCTATGCAGTTGTTGTGTTGTTGTCATTTGATTCTCTGATCATGAAGTGGCTGCAGGTCAACTTGATGTTTCTGCTGATCCTTGTTCATTCTATTTTTATATTGCTCCTGATAGTCTCGATATTTCAGAGCTCAACTATCATTTCCTTCCCTTGAGTATTTTTGCCTTTCTTGATGTACATTTACGTTAGTTTTGGCGATTGTCAACGCAAAAGTTTAGACGATTCAATTATTTTCAGCCTCACTTGCACTTTACAGACACGACATGTCTTCGATAAGGAGGCTCCTTCTTGTCGTGACTTTTTGTCAAGTTGATGTGAGTGGATCCTCCAGTCGGAAGGAAACTGATCTTCCTGATCTCAGGCCTTCTCTCCTTCGGTTCACAGACCACTCAAGCTGTCAACATTGACAGCGAAACCTGTGAACGGCATTCCTTGGAGATGTGGTGTTGGAAGCAAACATCGATGTGAACGAAGAAGAATTTCGGTGAGCATGAAAGATGCTGCGATAGCAAGCCAAACAGGATCAGGGGATGGTCAACAATCGGAATTTTTCTTCCGAAATATTCCTGCACTCATTCAGAAAATTCAAAGGTTTGCTGCAAATATTCAAAGGACATCAACTTTCTGATCCTTTTTACCGAAGGTTGGCTGATCCATTCTGGGGTGGTGAAAGCAAATCCAAAGCTTGGTTATGGACTGCCTTCACGCTTTCTTTGGCTTTTATCACTACTCTGTATGCAGTTTCCATCTCTTTCATACAGAAAGTATGGAGTACATAGAAAATCAATTCCCAGTCTGACACGATTTGCTTATAAACAGTTCTTCTGGAATGCTTTGAATGCCAAAGACCTTGCCAAATTCAACAAGTTTCTTGCCTTGTACCTTGCTGTACTTACTCTGGGCCCACCGCTACTGGTTCTCTTTGGTAAAGAAATTATTTGCTGAAGGAGACATTTGCACTGATAAACAAGCACTCAGATTGGGCAAAGGGAAGAATGGCACTGTCCTGGAGAAACGCTTTGACCAATCTTTATCTCGGAAAATATGTACACAAGTAATCCTCGAATGGTTTCATGCAGGCTTGCTGACATTTTGCTCAGGATGAGGTACTACAAATTACCATTTGTATCAGATGTCGACAACACAGACCAACGCATTTCGGAAGACATCAATAATTTCTGCGACAAAGCCGTTTCTCTTTTCTGCACTTCAGTAGTGGCTCTTTGTGATCTTGTCGTCTTTTCAATCATCCTGTACAAAATTTTCCCACCTCTTTACTTCACACTGGTTGCATATGCTGTGGTTGGAACATTTGTTACAGTTTGGTTTGGCAAGCCCCTCATCAAGAAGAATCGCCTGCAGCTCAAGAAAGAGGCTGATTTTCGTTTTGATCTCGTGAGGATTCGAGAAGACTCAGAGTCGATCGCCTTCTACAATGGTTGAAAGATGATATTGTAAATTCTTGTTTTTCGTTTACACTTTGCCTAAAGGTGAAACCAGAGAGCGTACAGAAGCACAGAAAAGATTCAGTAGCGTCGTTGCAAACCGCATTGGAATCCTCAATTTTGAACGAAATCTCAACTTCTTTACAAGATGGTATAGGTATCTTGTTCAGGTAAAGTGCAACTCTTGTGAAAAGCTGCGTAATGTTTCGTGTGAAGGTGTTGCCTGCACTCGTGATCGGACCACAATATTTCGCTGGTAAAGTTCCGCTTGGAGCAATCAGCCAAACGTTTTTCTCCTTCAATCATGTCTTGAATGATCTTTCTTTGGTAACGCTGTGACTCTGAATTTGTGAAATTGATTGTGATTGCTAGATTGTCAATGAGTTCACCGGCCCGCAAGGAATCTCGTCCTTTGCCGCGCAGGTGGAACGTCTTGACCAACTTCGAACTGCAGTAGAAAAGGTAAAAACCAAGTGGGATAATCTGTTCTCAAGTAGCATTTGCGTAGGTCACTGAGATGGAGGAAAGGGATTCATCGTCTAAGATAAATCAAGAACTTACTGCTAAGGATGGAAGCCTCGCCATCAAGGGCTTGTGCGTCAGCACTCCCGGCGGTACGCCTTACTTGTATGCTTCGCATTCTTACCCTCTTGCCAACAGGCAACTCACCTCGACAGCTGATCACTGACCTTTCCTTGACGTTGGAGCCGGGCAAGAAGCTACTGGTTGTTGGCTTCAGCGGCATAGGGAAGAGCTCTTTGATGCGCGCCATCGCGGGGCTGTGGGACACGGGCACTGGAAACATCGTCCGACCTCCTTTGGAGGTCTGGATTCCCCTTGTTCTTGTGGTTGTCTAAAGAATATGCAGGACACATTGTTCTTGTCCCAGAGGCCTTACATGACTCTTGGAACTTTGAGGGAGAACGTTTTGTACCCTAAGACCGTTCAAGATTCCAGCGTGACGGACGAAGAAATTCTTGAGGCTCTCCGTAAGGTCAACTTGCCGACGGTAGCAGAGCGCATGGGAGGTCTTGATGCCGCTGGTAAGACTGGAGGCTTGAAGCCGGTCATTCTCTGACTCCCATGAGAAGACCAGCCGTTGAGCAACATCCTCTCTCTTGGAGAGCAGCAGGTGTTGCCATGCTGTTGAATCTGATCCTCCGTGGTTGCTGACGAATGGTGGTCAGCGTCTGGCATTTGCTCGCATCATGATCCTCAAGCCGAAGTTCGTGATCCTGGACGAGTCAACGAGCGCCTTGGATCTAGAAAACGAGGAGCAGATGTACAAGGTGAAGGAGGAGATGGTGAAATGCCGTACTGACCTGCTTCTCTCTGGGACCATCGAATCGTCGATTGCCGCCTACTTGATGGTTTCTCTCCAAAACCTCCTCCCTCTCCAGCTGCTACAGGACCTCGGAATGACGGTAGTGAGTGTGGGCAACCGACCTTCGCTCGTCCCGTTCCACGACAAAGTCTTACGGCTGACGGGTGAAGGAGCATGGAAGTTTGAGAGTTGATATGGAGACGCAGCAGGCAATGTGTAGAGAGGTGAAAATTTATTGCTGAACATCCAACACAACAATAAAGCGCCACAGATAGGAGGCTAGGATGAGCAAGCATGCTTAGCCGAACGACAAGATTCCCGCTGCTGCAAGCTTCTGAATCCTCTCGGCAATAACCTGGACGAGGGTCAGGGCAACCGAGGCATCAATTTGGTTTCTTACTGGATCTTTCAGCGCATCCTGAGCCGCTGAGGGGTTCTCTTGCAAATTTCGCAGGACGTTGTTGATGACTGGGTCTTGAAGAATTCGTTGGATCTCTGGGTCCTGATGAGGGGGCGAGTCAGACAAGTTCACCATAGAGAATCAGGAGCAGTGATTAAGTGTGGAGGTGCTGGAGCGTGGAGGGAAGGAGGGAAGGAGGGAAGGAGGGAAGGAGGGAAGGAGGGGGATGAAATACCTTCATTGCGTTGGCCACCGTCTGCTCATCGCGCTTGCCTGAGAACATCGACGACTCCACACGTGCCAGGCCAATCTGACATCCCTGGTTGTTGGGGTCCAGCTCGAGACCCTTCCTGAAGTCTGCCATGGCCTTGGTTGGCTCCTTCAACATCATCTGCACCCCCAAGGCATAAGAAGCTCATGACGTAAGCAGCTCGCACGCTCACGTAGCAGTTGCCGCGTCTCTCCAGCGCCCTCACGAAGTTCGGCTCGATCTCAAGACTCTTGTCACAGTCGGCCTTGAAACAGCCTCGTCAGACCTCTGGGAGCGAGTCAGAAGTCGTACCTTGGCCGCTGGCCACTCCATCAGCTTCATGAAGCACAACGCGCGATTGCTGTAGAGCATGATAGTCAACACACACCGTCGGCTTCAAATCCAATGTGCTCTCTCACCTGTAAAGCGTGTGGTCCTTCGGGTTTCTCCGGATCGCCTCATCGTATGCCGCCTTGGCCTCAACGAACTTGCTCTCCTTCACCAGCGCATTCCCCTTCTCTTTCTCCTGGAGTGAGATTTCCTGCAAGAGATCTTGAGTGCAAGTGTAAGGGATAGAAGATGAGTACAGGGTTGATGTAAGCATTCTTCTCGGAATCTGCAATCTGCTTCTGAACATCCTTCAACTTCTTCTCGACCTCACGAGTTCTGAAACAGTCTTGCTGATCAGCCAGGGAGATGTATATAGATCGTATGTTAACCTGTTCTCGACCAATGCATCGCTGTATGCTTTGCTTGCTTCTTGCAACCTGTCCAACTTCACAAAAGCATTTCCCAGACGCTCGTAAGCACGAGAGATGATCTTCAGACAGGTCAGCAATGAGATGGGACAAGAAAGAAGATGAGTCACCTTGAAATCAGCTCGGCACTTTCTTCCTTCCTCGATGGCTTTGCGGCAATCTTCGATGCATTCTTCGTACATCTTCTGCTCAAACCGGACCGCAGCTCGGTTTGTGAGGACAGCGATGTTCTCATTGTCAGCTTCATACGCCTTGGTGTACCATGTGATGGCCTCATCAAACTGTTTGTTCTTGTAGAAGGTATTTCCCTTCTCCTTGCACCATTCTGACAAGCCCTTAGGATTGTCTTTGAAATCGTTCTCAGTCATCGCAGCTTTCCGAGCCGCCTCTTCGGCTTCCTTCCGCTTCTTCTCCTCAAGTTGCCTCTTTCGTTCAGCTTCCTCGGCCTCTTCCTGCAAAGCAAACATCCACGATGAGCTCGCATGACAATTTCGCTCCATGATGACCTTTGCTTTCCTCCGCTTGATTTCTTCCTCCTCCGCATGACGGAAAACGTCGGGGTTCTGCATTCTCAGCAGCTCCTGCAGAAGCAACTGAACTCTCTGATCGTTGAGATGCTTCATCAGTGCCTGAACCACGACTGTCAGAGAGCAGAGCAAAGTAAGTTTCAACTGACATTCGAATCGGTCTGCAGCTCTTGAACGATCCCTGGGAAGTCAGGCTGAGCGAGGAATGGTGCCAGCTGTGGGCTCCTAGCAATGATCTCCACCAGATCAGGGCGGCGGAGGAGGTTTCCAATCCCCTTGATCCCGCTGCTCTGTTCAGCTCTCATCGCCGCCTCCACCTCGCTGATCCCGTTGGTCAACATCGCCAGCCCTGTCGCCTTGTCAACTTCCATTGCACACTCAAATCTGTCCTTCACCAGGCTCATGCGCCAAGCCATCCTTGTACGCCTTGAGGGCTCCTTCGAAGTCGCCCATGCCGTGCATGGCAGCTCCCTTGCGACCATAACCCTTGCCCCAATCGGGCTTGATAGCGATACATTTCTCCGCATCATTCAAAGCTTGATCATATTTCTATAGTTGATATCAGCTTGTGGAACCCTTCAACATTCGATCAACTCACATGAAGACCCGCGTAAGACGCAGATCTGTTGGAGAAAAGAACGTGGTTGTTTGGATCCAAGTTGATCGCCTGAGTGAAGAAATCTACAGCTTCCGTGTAGTTCTTTGCCGAGAAAGCTGCGTTTCCCTTGGCCTTGAGCTCTTCAGCGCTCATCCTGACCTACCAAATGCTACGACAGACATCAGTTCACGGATTTGACCATGTTGTACTCCCAAACTCATCCTCAGTACTACCATCTTTTCGCGTTCCTTCAGTGAGCTGATTCATGTTCAACATATTTCGAAACGCCTTGTGTTCAATCCTCTGTCTTCCGTGAAATCGCCTGTTTCTTCTTCCTACGCTGTTCTCTCCAGCTGGCTGACTGTCTATCGCTCCCTGCTTCTCTCTTCTCCTCCTCCCCTCCCTCTCCATTCCCTCGCTCTCTCTCCCTCCCTTCACCCTCAGCATTTTTTCCCCAGTCGATCTTCTCGCGCATTCGGTGCATTCCACCTGTTCTATCACACCCCTTCCCTTAGACTTCTACCCCCCATTTTCTCTGTGGTAAGTACCCCCACCTCCTTTATATCCATCAAAATCACCCCAAAACATAATCTCATACCCCTGGTTTTTCCTCTCGAGAACGTTTACATAGTACCGGTGGTATGAGGAAACACTCCCACCCCCGTCCTACCAGCTCACATACCACCCCTGAATTGTTCCAATGAGTACCCCCTGTATTGGAGGGTACAGCAGGGGGTGATCAAATGAAGTATGTCGAAGTTCTGGAGAACATTCCGGAACTTCCTCGCAAAGTTCTGGAAACACACCGGAAATTTGAGGGGAAGATTTCAAATTTCATTTTAATTGCTGTGTAAACACTGAGTGAGTGGCAATCGCCGGGGCCCAGACCGTCAGTGACTCAGAGTCGGGTGCCACTGTGGCCGGACTCGCGGCCTTAGTAGACAGAACTTTCACTTGACTCTCATATGATGACGATCTCGGCCGTGACCTGAGGAACTGAGTGACCAAGTGGAAAGCTTAGAAGCCTTTGCCGTCACAGTGAGATTAAACTTCATGTTCACAAGAAGAACTGAGAGTCTTGGCCCGGAGTGTGAGTACTGTACTTTATGACAGTACCGTACGGTCCCCAAAACTTGAAAGGAACCGTGCCACGGATGGGTCACCGGGTTTCTGATTCTTCTCTCCCTACTTTGGGTGTTCGAGTGCCCAACATCAGCTGGGCGGCCTGGTAGCCGATCATGTAGGCCATGGCCTGAGTAGGCGCTGAAGGGATGCGAGGAGCGACGGAGCAATCCGCTATCCTCAGACCGACGGTCCCATGCACTCTGCCAAGTTTGTTAGGGCAGACCCACTGGGATTTGAGGAGGAAGGAGAGAAGGGGACTCGGAGGGAGGGGGGGGGAGGAACGAGAGGAGGGGGGGGGGAAGGAACGAGAGGAGGGGGGGAGGGGTTGCGGGGGGAGGAACGAGAGGAGGGGGGGAGAGGGAGGAGGAGGAAGGAGAGGCAAGTGGGAGGCGAACCTCAGGAACGCATCGACGACGCTGACAGAGGAGAGCTCGTTGCTCTGCCTCGTCTCCCACTCCTTCCCCGACGGCATGCGACAAGTGCCGACGGGATGGAAGTAGGAGGAGCACGCTAGCTTGACCCACCACTTGAACCAACTCATGCTCTCTCCATACATCAGCGGAGCGCCTGGCAAGAGCCTGGTGCGAGAAAGTCAAGAAGGAAGGTTCAGGAGGAGAACACAAAGGTACTCTGCCAAGATCCACTCCTTCGCCGACGGGCTCGTCTTGACGCTCTTGAAGGTGCTCCACAGGTCGTGCAGGAGGACAAGGTCACTCTCCTCGCTCAGGTAACGAGGGTCGATCCTGCAGCATACACATCAGACCCCTCCACACCATCCGCGTCAGGCTGTTACAGCGGCGGGTCCCTCGGGTCATTGCTCCTCAACCTCACTCTCCCCCTGCTCCTCGGGTCCATCATGCAGATCCCTGCAGTCAGGCTTTGCCGCAGCATCCACTTGATGCCAGGGATGTAGAAGACAAGCTTGCAAACGATCAGCACCACCCTGCTGATGACTTCACTGCCGATATTTTGACCCAGCACCATCCCTTCGGAAAGTTTCAGCACAAGGAGTCGCTTGTCCGCAAAGTCAAATTACCGGAGCAGAGCTCGGGTAAAACTTCCCACGCATTCCAGGAATCTTTGAACAGGATCTGCCCATGTCGGCGTCGAGACTCTGGATGGAGGGGTTTCAGTTCAGGGCTCAAGGGCGGCTGTTTACAGCACCGCGTCGGATAGTGACATGGCACATCCCGTGCGTCCCGATGTCGTTCGTGTCGCAGCTGCGCAACGGCTTGCGAGCAGCAAACGCAGCGACGAGAATCAAGTGATCCTGACAAGTGAGGGCTGAGGGACCAGGGACGAGGCAACCAAGCGTGCGAACCTGCAGGTGCCTTCCGACGTTGGGGTTGTTGATCAAAGGAGGAACGGTTTTCTGTTCATCGGGTCAGCAGAAACGGCTCTGCATGCGACAAAGGACCTCTTCGAGCTCCTCGGGGTCTCCAATTCCTGACAGCAGAAGGATCTTGGGGCTATCGAAGGCCCCGGCACAAAGAACTACCTAGCACGGAGTGAGTGGGAGGGAAGACGAGGTGGTAAGAAAATCAGTCCTACACTCCTCGTACACTCACTTCTGCCATGGGGTTGCTGAGCATCAGACGTAGAGTGCCCTCCTCCTGCTTGAAGAAGCTTTTCCTCCTCCGCCAAATCTCGACCCCGACCGCCTTCCTCTCATATCAGGCATGGACCATGGCACCCGTTGTCACCTTCTTGCGGTCGAAGATTACTCTTGACACGTTGCAGTGCGGGTAGACTTTCACTCTTCCTTTGGCAATCCATGGGCTCACAAGCTCTTTCCATGCACTTGTTCTGGTTCCTGCTTCACCTGCCGAGCACAACTCATCGAACTCATATCCACCACTCAGGATTTTGCAAAAATCCTTTGCCTTACCTTGGACAGTCGCATACAAACCTTCGGCCACTCCGTCCTCTGCCCACAATTCTTCTTTGCACTTGTCACATCAAATCAGTTCTTATTGTATCGAAGCTCAAGACCTCAGCTCACCGTCTTGAACCCACTCTCCCGCATCATAGCACACATTGCAGCTCCGCTTCCCTTGGCTGGAACCCGTTTCACGCGCAAGGAGCGCTCCGCGAATTCGAAACCCTTCTCGATATCCTGATAGGTAGCAGACTCCTCAACATGCAGATCCTACCGAGTCGGCTGAACTCACCTCAAGCTTCCATGGCCACTGTTGGTAGTCCTCCCTCCGTCCCCTGCACCAGATGCATGCGTTCACGTTTCCCGTCCCCCCAAACCCTTCCCCTCTGAAGGCAGGCATTAGTTTGGACAGCACGGCCAGTTGAGGAACAGTCCGGTACAGCCTGGCAACAACATGAGGCGTTGGTAGGCATGCCTGCTCTAGCCAACCTCGATACAGGTCGACCATGCGACGCAGCAGCGAACCAACTTTGCGGGTCGTCCACGACTTTTCGCTCCCAGGGCTCAGCACCTCCTGCCTCGACAACAACGACACTCTTGCCAGCTGCGGCCAGGCATGCAACCAGGCTGCAGGAAGAGCAGCCTCCTCCCACCACCAGGTAGTCGCAATGCAGGTCTAGGTCCTTGTTCTCATCCCATGCCTTGTCGATCTCCTCCTTCCCATCATGGCCCTCTTCATCAGCACTCCCCTGCTGGCTCAGGCTTCGCTTCAAAAGGAGGAGGAGGAGGAGCAGGAGCAGGAGCAGGAGGAGCAGGAGGAGCAGGAGGAGGAACGACAACATGGGCTCCGTAAACCACATCCCCCACCAACTTGGAGATACAATTTTGTAAGTCAACTTTGAGTGAAAATTCTCATACGGGAGGTCCCAGCAAGGCCCGCCCCGGTACATCCCGGGTAGCCCAAGTTTTTGCGACCCGCCCAAACCCAGCAAGAGGGATGGGCGAGGGTCGAGCGGACATGCATGCATGTACTCAGTGGACCATTGAGAGTGGTGTGTGGCTGTTATCACGCACTTGGCTGAAGGCATTGGTGGCTCGCGGACGGTGTTGTTTACACTACAAGCAAGCAGGGAGACCGTGCAATTGAGATGGGTGAATCCTTTGACAAAAAGCTCCTTCCTCCTTTGAGGGGTTGGAGATGAAGTCAAGACAGTCGTGCAGTGTCTATTGGAATGCTAGCCTGTCAGTGTCTTCCCGGAGAGGAAGGCTTGGAATGTTAGGTGCGCTTAGTGTCCTCCAGGAAAGGAAGGCTTGCAATTCTAGCTCAGTGTCGTTCAGGAAAGGAAGGCTGGAATGAGCTCAGTTTTGGCAGGGTCGCCGTGACAAGCCGTCATGACAAGCAAGACAAGCAAGTCTTGACATCGACCACGTGTACCTGCATGGTGCTGCATGCGAACTTCATATTCCCTCCAGTCCAGAACTTTCTTTCTAGCCTCATTTTGGCACTGTTTGCCGGGCACTTGCATCCTTTCCTTGTTTCCCGCAGGCTAGATTTTTCCTCATATCATTCACTTGGCTGATATCGAACAGGACTCAGCCCTCTCTGACAGAGAAAGACCGAACGGAGAGGAGTCCTGTTCCATGCCGCCGCCGGTCCCGCTCAGTGGTGTCCATGATGGGCGGCCGCAGCCTGTCTGCCCAGCGCCGGCGGCCGCCGGCGCCGTACGGTTTTCTGGGGCCGCCCGGCCGCCGCCGCAGTAACTGAGACAGGAATGTGACTTGGAGCACTCCCGGGTCGGTGGCAGCGGTCCGAGAACTTGATCACTGACAGACAACTAACTTGCGGTCAACGGTAGGCCGTAGACCAGTCCGACGGTCGGACCGTACTCCGACGTGCCACGGCCGGCCGGGCCGCTGGCGAGACCTGACCGGGTACCGGCGGCCGGGCTGAACGCCGGGTGACTGCCGCCGGTCCGGGTCACAGAGTCAGCGGCTCAGCATTAGCCTCAGTCATCATGGCATACTGCCTCTACTACGTGACGTAGCGAAGTTGCGGCCGCTGTGCACTGCGGCACGCGAGGGTGGGGGGCAGAGGAGGCTGAGTTGTGAGCAAGTACCCCCTGATTCCAGAGCTCGCCAGCACTGGGAGGGTTGTGGGGATGATCTCGAGCAGCTGGCAGTCACGCCGTCAGGTCTGTGACTGCATCGGAGTCACACGCCAGGCGCAGGTAGAGCCTCGGAGAGGACCATTCGCTGAGTCAAACGGTTTGAGCTAGAGGGCCCAATCGAAGAAACTCCAGGGTAGAAGGGCGGGGTACTGTCACAGACTCGGAGAACAGCCGTCACCTCCGTACCACCCGTCGGCCCGGCCTGCTCCGCAGGGATTTGCCAGGGTTCTTTTACGGCACGCGCATTATGGCACGGTACTTGGAGGTAATTCAGGGGGTGGGGGTGCATTTCTTTCGGAGTGAAAGCCGTGAACATGGATGACGAATGATCTTGATGGTTCCTGTATCTTAAATGAGTGACCTTGGAACCGTAGCAGAGAGAGGCATTTGATTGAGTGGGATCAAGTATATTTTGACTATGGCAATACCGTAAGGGGACTGATGAATTAGATATCGCTTCGGAGAAATTAGAGCACACAAAAAATCTCGGATTGAATAGAATATACCTGCTAGTTGCTAGGCTTAACCTTCCCGATTATGAACTTGGTGCTGACACCAGATACACGGTGCTGAGGAAATATTTGTTCACACCACCCTCCACCATTGTAAGGTACCAATGAATCGTTACTTACTACTCAAATCGTACCACAATCTCCCTTTCTAGTTTTACTTATCTTTATCTTTGAGGTCAGACTGGTGTAATTGACTAAACTTTCATAGGGTACAACAGTACCAGCCACAACTTTTCTGGGGGCTACCACCCCCCTTCCTCTCAACGCCCTGGATGACTTCCCTGCCCGGTCACAACAGATGTAGTAAAGAAGGAGTAACTTACTCGAAAAGTATCGTTTTCAAGTCAGATCGCAACGAGACTAGCGAGGTACCTCGTGACCGGTCCGACACAAACCGTGGAAATTCAGATGGCCCGCCACCGAATCATATACCTGAAAATATGAAATATAATTCAAATATTACGAGTTAATATGAACACTTTAACAACAAATAGTTTTAACATTTTCGTAGTTTTCAGTGAATATCTGAATGCCTTCCGTTGGCGATCAAGTAAACCTGCTGTCACCCCTGTGTGTAACCTGTTTCTACCCTGGCGTTCAAGTTGGGGTGGTACACGTTCTCACCCATGGATCCCACCAACTTGAGCTACCCCCACCCCTACCCTAGTCAAAAGAATGCCCTACTCCCAAACAATAGTCCCACCCCATTTCCATTCAACCTTTCCTTTCCGCAAGTCACTCATTGCGAAATGAAATGACCCTACCCCCAAAGTTTGGGATGCCCCAGGACCCCTACCTGCAATGGTACAAAGGACCGTGGAGAATGCATACAAATATACCGGTGCATAATCACAAAATTGCTTTTACACCCCATCATCATCCATAGGGACCCACCATTCAGATTCAGGGGAGCAATTTTTTGGAAGTGGGCAAAGAGATGGGGTCCTTTTATGGACCCCTTCTGGAACACCACCCTGTAATTACCAGGTACCCCCAATTGAGTACCCCCGGCACTTTCTTTATACCTTCCTATCCTCAGGCAGTTTTCTCTGTTATAACTCAGTTCTTCGCCCTCCGATCCTCGCATCCTCGCCCCCCCCGCCCCCCGTGACCCCTGCCTTTCCTCTCCTTGTCCTCGTTGTCGACTATCCTGGTGGTGCTCCCCTTCGCCATTCTTCATCTCTGCTAGTCTTTTCCGCCTCCCCCGTCTTCTTCATCGCCCGCATCGCACCTTAATTCCTTGTCTTCTCGCCCTCACGAGCTGAAAACCGATCCTTGGCTTGCACTAGCGGCACCGCCCTTCTCATCGTTTTTATTAGCACAGTTTATTCTCCTTGATTTGCTGTGATCGGGATGTGCTCTTTCCAACGACCCAAGAAATCCGGGCCCACTTGCTCTCATGGAACTTGCGCACTAGTCGGATTCTGCATAAAGGAAAGGCAGCATGCACAACAAGCTGCCAGCATTGGCCATTCTTCATTGTCGGGTGAACACGCGCAGGATTCCTCGTTCGCTGTTCAGGTTCCTCTTGCAACAAGTCACATAGACGCATCGTTCCACACCTCTGCCGCACTTATGACATCTGCCCCGTCGGTTGTACTCGAGAAGGAGATGAAGAAAATGGAATTGCACTCCGTGAGTGAGGAACATCTGATTTGCGATGATCTTGAACCTCCTTCGCATCTGCTGGATGCTTGTGGGCCTGCCGGGGCGACAGTTATGTTTCCGATGAACAACATAGCAGTCGAAGTGATGGAGAAGCAAGAACGGCCTGAAGAAGTGAACTGCTGACTAGCAGGAGAACAGTTGCAGCGACGTGGTGATGAGCTTGTGTGAAACATGATGTTGATTGTACATAGAGATTAGAACATGTTCATTTAGAATGATCAGGCTGAATGTACATACTTTCCGAGGGCTAAACAATAAACTTCAATTAGACCAGCATCGCGTTTTTGGTTGTGGTTCTCGTTAAGAAGATTGATGCCGTGCAGAAAATCTGCGCCGCGGGCCGGGAGACGAGCAAGCGAGCGGAGCTGAAGGCAGAAAACATGGAGAAACAGATGAACTAGAGAGGAAGGAGGGGCCAGCGGCGCAACGAGACTTTCAGATCTTCGACGCGACCGATCGTATCATCGGCCGGCGCCGAAATCTGTTGAACAACAACCTCATGATGTACATCAATCCTGCAATGCAGGTCAACCGATGGCTCGTGACTCTCGGGGCAACGTTTCGACATACCCAGAGTAAGTATCCCGATCCCCCCGATGAGAACGAGCCGACTTGTCCTGGAGCTGTCTTTGTTTAGTCCTGACATTGCGACTCAGCTATCAAGATGTAGAGGAGTAGAACCAGGACCTGCTGCAGCTTTTGCCAGCTCCTTACGAGCAGTTCTGCGGAGAGGTGAGGGTGACAAAGTCTGGGCAGGCACAAGGGTTACATCCGAGCAAGTGCTGCCCTCTTTGCTATCTTCGCTTCATACTGCACCGTCATTGCTGTTTGAACTACCATGAGAGTTGTTCACATTAAAAAACACGACTGAGATACCTGATGTTACGTTGCCGCTGAAAACTGCGAGGAGAATGGATCCAGTATCAAACACACAGCGAAAAGCCTGTCAAACACTATGGATTACAGTCCGTCACTTTTCATCCTCCTCCTCCTCCTCCTCCTCCTCATCATCATCATCATCATCATCATCATCATCATCATCAGCATCATCATCATCATCATCATCATCATCATCATCATCATCATCATCATCATCATCATCATCATCAAAGTCAAGATTTCGACAGGAACCTGTGGGGGGGTTCCAATATTGATTGTGATGAACAAATGAACTCGCGTTTCGAGGGAGAGAGGGATCTGAAACATGCGACTCAGCCGTCTCAGAGCCAACAAGGCAATCACTGAATCAGAAAGGAGACAACCTTGGCCGGATCGTTGTCATCAACGTTTCGACTCTTCTGCTTGCCTATAAGAGGCAGGTAATCCTGAGAACATGTTAGCTACAGACATGTGTCGACCACTATGGCACCTTAGCAATCTTGGCAAAGCCCATCTTGTAGTGAGGAGGGACCATGGAGTGAATGACCTGAACGAAGATGAGAACAAGTGACAGAAGGATAGCAGGAGGTCGACGATGATGGTACAGATTTTCTTGCTGAAGATAGGAAGGATAACGGCGAGGAGGAGGAGAAGGAGGGAGAGGGAGAGAACAAGCACGACGGCGAGGAGGGTCAGTGGGACGACTTCAAAGGACAGGATCGAGGTCATTGACAGAGACTTGCAAGTTTACCATGTACGCTCTGAAGACATGATGACCAAACAGCATCAGGTTGTCCGATTCAAATGGGTTCGTACATCCCCACGGTTCGCTCCATACATTCTGGTCGCACTTTTCAACCAACCTCCCAACTCCCTCGCGCGCAGACCTGCGGGATCTCCAATTTGACCCCTCCATCCAGCACCACCTGAACCCACCGTCACCTCCTTCTCCCACTTTGGTCCGCTCCACACAATGATGGGCAACGTCGGGTTGCCGGAGGCGAGACTCGCAAAGTTGTCGAACAAGCTAAGGAACAATCAGGGTTGTTGTGCTCTCTGTGCCGTCAGTCCCACCTGGACATGTAGTACCCTTGGAAGAGACCGCGGGGCATTTCTAGACATGTGCTGTTGAACGAGTTTCAACTTGTCTCGAGGGTGGCCGGGCCTCCGGTCCACACAAGAGCAACCCTCACCTTCCTGTGTCGAACACTCCGAGGATCCCGCCGAAGTGCCTCCCTTTGGGTCCTAGCTCGAGCAGCTCCCTGAAGGTAAACCATTGCAGTGAGTATCGGAAGGAACATTTCCTGGAGGATCAACCTTCCCGCATACTGAACTGAGACTATCTTCACACCGTAACCCGTCAGGTTGACCATCTTCGTCCACTGACGAAGGTCTCAGAAGCATCGCAGCGTCTCGCAAGCTTCCATCACCATGATGTCGCCCTCATACGACCGACTGTCGTACCCACCGAGCTGTACACACAAGGTCAACATCGCTGACTGGATCAACTCCTTCGGACCTGGAGCTCTCCCGCAGTGCTTGATGAAAGAACCGAAAAAATGTTGTGACGGAGAATCGGGAATGAAGCCGGCTGCATTGCACACCAGATGAGCGAGTGGAAGAGACTGAAGCCCAACGACGAGTTGAACCTGAGTTACGTTCCAGCTCGGCCTTCTTCTACGCGTGATCGTCTTCATCCTGCGGAGCAAGGCAGATGAGTGAACATCTTCACCCTCCATGCACGGATCTCACAAGGACGCGCTTCGTGGGAGGTCTGTGTAGCCGAACCCAAGAATCCCGTCCGCTCCTTGCAAGTCGGCTCCTGCAAAGACACAAGGGAGAAGGAGAACATGAGCTCTCTCCTGCCCTTGGAGCAGTCAAACCTGGTCTTCCTGAGACTGCTTCCTCGATTAGGCCGAATCTTGAGAAGAAACGGTAAGGGCCTGGACCCATGGAGTCACTTGAGATCCAACAAGGAAGGGATCCCTACCGAGCTCAACCACATCCAATCCTGTCTTGATCTTAAGAGCTGACGAGTCCGCATAGTGCACATTGTAGAAGTGCTTCTTGCTGCGTCTTACAAGTGAGGACGAGGAAGAGAGCGAGCGAGCAGAGCTGTCACTTCTTGATGTAGGTAAAGGTGGAGCTCGCCTGCCCACGAGGATCAGCGGAAGGTGCAGCAAGGGAGCAACTGTGGAGTTGCCTGCCACTGATAGACAGCAGGAGTCAGATGAAGATGCCTCGCCCTGGTAGGCTTCAACACGGCCGCCTGTGAACTCTCAACGAGCTGAAGCTGCGCGGGCTCGACGTCGGAGGACGGGACGCACCTGACGGGCTAGCTCGTCTGCGATCTTCTGTGCTGCCCGGATGTCCGTAGAGTTCTCATCTGCTCGAGAGCTCCATCATGACAGAAGCTGGTGGAGGGAGGAAAGAGGACATACGGACAGAGAAGCGGGTGGTTGCAGGGGGAGAACAAGAGCTAGGGGGAGGGGGGAGATTTCATGAGAGGGTTGGAGGCAGGAACGGAAAGAGTAAGAGGGGAGAGGGGAGCAGGGAGGGCAAACGGGATGGGAAGGTGGGTGGGGAGAGAGAGAGAGAGGGATTCGAGGTGGTCCACCTGACGTGTTTGTCGGAGGAAGTGGTTTACACAGAAGACCCCACTTGCCATCCACACCATTCACCCTCTGGCAGACAAGAGCCGGCATGTTGCCAGGAGGCCTGATCAGCTGAGGTCCTCGATGCTGGAGACCTTCAAGATAGTCAGAAGAGTGCTGATCCCATTAAGCTCTCGAGAGCAATGGCTCAAGAAAAGTATCAACAATTCAGAGGCACAACACGGAAACGCAGGTGGCTTGAGGATAAAATGAGTGGTGGGCAACACCTCTGCTAACGAGGTGCGCAAGCTGCTTCTGGTTCTGATTTACATTCTCCAGGCTGGGCTTCGTCACTCTGTCCTTCATCCATCTTGCGCTCGTCAGCTTTGCTTGCAGCTTTGACGGACCTTTCGGTAGAAATCTGCTCTCCTTTCCGCTGCAAAAGCACAGACAGGCCAGCAACAACGACCAGCATTGCCAGTGAAGCTTCATCACTGCAAGATCTCTCTTGACCTCCTGCTCTCAATGTCTCTCCTCTACCGCCGCCAGCATTCGCCGCCTCAGCCAACCCCACGCAGCGCCGCCATTCTTTCGTCAAATCGGGGAGCACGATCGTAGTCAATTGTTGACTATAAAGGTTCATTCCACGATTCCATATTGACTAAAGATTTAGATTATTATCCTGGGGAGGGAAGTGCTTCTTTATTACATTATTTTAATACACGGTAATGGGTACAAATTCTATTTCTAAATTTCTACTGTTTGGTTGTAATTCAGATTTATTAAATTAAAAATATATTATTTTGTATCGGAATGGGAAGGCTTGCGGCTGATTCTACAACTTTACATTGGTTCATATTTCACCAAGTCTGAATTTGTCTCAAGAAACTTGCAATTTCAGGTCATATTTCTGGAATGATTCACGAAATATCCTACCCAAGGTACAGATACTGGTAGATAGTGTTATTTGTTCTGGCAATTATTTTATAATTAAAATATATGGTACTTGACTTTTTCACTAAAAGTTGCTCCGGTACTGTTCTAAAAATCCCTTTGAGGCGGCCTCCCGCGGCTCTGCGCGGCATGCTGGGCAGGGCGATATGAAATAGCACATGGACCCGTTTCGCTCCTCTCCCTCCTCTCCCTACCACCTTCCATGCATGAATAATCACTTTCTGTCACAGTCCCTGCCCTCATTCACTGCTTCACTGCTGCAGGGGCTCTTGTTGGTCCCCTTGCCTCGGCTTGAGTATTAGTGTTTGGTTTGGGTTGATTGACTTGCCTTCATGCTGAACTTGTTTGCGATCTGTTTGATTCTTGGGCTGATTGATGGTTGGCATTGAAGATGATGATGAAATCTTGTGATTACTTGCCGCCTTCACATTGTTCTCCTGGTCAACTTTGGCATTTGTCGCAGAATTTCAGAATATTTGGGGGAAACTGCTTTGCCTGAATATTTTATGCTCGATTGCTCTAGTTCCTTTGTTCTTTCATGGTATCTTACATTGCTCATCAGTATGTTCGTGAGCGTCTTTGCTGCAATGGTTTCTTCTTCTCTTCGTGTGTCTTGAACGTTCTTGTTCCTTGTGCAATTTCGGAAACACAAAAGGCAACAAAGCTTGCTCTGTGACAATCATCGCTTGCGTGTATATCTCACCTTTTGGGCACAATATCTGCTGTATCGCTAGATCGACTCTGATCTTCGTTGACAGGACGTTTGTCACTCTTGCACGAGAAACAATCCTGTAAGATGACCAGTGGGCTTTTCACGCGGGTCACATTCAGAGTGTGTGTTGACACACAATTTGGTGACTCTGTGTTTGTGACTGGAAATGCTCCGATTCTTGGTATTCATGCCATCATCATATGAAGACTGTCCTGATTCGTTCCGTGCTTGCAGGGTATTGGAAGACCGACAAGGGCTTCAAACTTGAAACTTCCGCTGACAAGTTCCCAGCTTGGGAGGGAACTGCTCTGATTCACTCGGGATTTTCACTTGAGTATAAGTATATCATATTCAGGAATGGCGAAGTGCTGTGGGAGACAGGCCCTGTCAACAGAAGTTTGAAGACGTCCCTTGAAATGATGATTGTTGACGATGGGTGGTTCAACGGTATACGAGTGGGTGTTCAGATTGCACCGATGAGCGATCAGGTATCTTTTTCATCTATTTTGTGTGCTTCTTTGAACGTTCTTGAAGAGCAAGGAAAACAATGTTGTGTCCAAAGATGTGAAAACCAAAGAAGGAACCAGGGATGAGAAAGTGAAATCAGTCGGCAATGACGTTGGTAGCCAAGGCGTTGTGATTGTCGCTGCTGTTTTGCCAATCAAGGTATTCAACAGCATACAAGGCGACAGTGTAGTGATGTCTGACCGCTCTTTAGGTGACTAAAACGAGCTCTGGAAAGTACGAGTTCGAGTGGGATCAACTTAGAGCTGTGTCGAAGCTGAGAAACAAGTCAGTGAAGCTGCAAGTTGCTCTATCTTTCGGCCTCTCTTTCTTCGTTCTTTCCCCGCTTCTCTTTGTTTCCAACAGTCGTGTCGCTGTTAATGACTCGATCCTATTGTGACACACAAATTTTTACAGGAAGAGGAATTTCAAGTATGTAGGTTGGATTGGCATCCATGTTCCAGAAGAAGATCAAGCGCAAGTGAAAGAGCGTTTGATTAAGGATTGGTGCTGCTATCCCGTATTCTTGGATCAGAATCTCGCCTACAGGTATGCATGGACTCTTTGCATTCTGCATCAATCTGATGTGCGTTGAATCGAACAGGGTCTTCGATATTTTTTGTCAGAGCGTGCTTTCACCTTTGTTCCACCATATCATTGAACTGGCCGAAGAAGGAAGTGAATCTTGCTGGCAATGGGAATTGTGGCACGAATACGAAAAAGTGAACAAGGTCTACTCGGATCTAGCGCTGATGCCAGTCTCTCAAGGAGGACCACACTCTCCCACCGATCGCATTTGGGTTTTGGATTACGAAATGATGTTGGTTCCGCACTATGCAAGCAGGAAATGCCCTTCTGCCCATATTGGATACTCGTTCTTGTCTGTTTTCCCCAGTACCGAAGTTTTTAGGGTGCTTCCTGTTCGTATTGAGCTTCTCTGCGCATTGCTCTGCTCAGATCTGATCAGCTTCGATCTGTTTGAGTATGCAAGGCATTTCCTGCATTGTTGCTCTCGGTTGCTCGGTCTCGAGCACAGATCAAGAAGAGGTCTCATTGGAGTAGACTTCAATGGTCGGAGAGTGAACGTCAGGTGTGGTCTCATCGGCTTCGATGTGTCTGGCACCCGCGAGCTCCGAGACTCACAAGACGTAGTCAACATTAAGGAGCAGCTTCAAAAGGTAATGTTTATGCTGACCTTTTCACGTGTCTTGGGTGAATCTCTCTGTAGGAGTTCGACGGTAAGACTGTCATCGTAAGCTGTGACAAGATCGATCGCCTCAGTGGCATCAGCTTGAAGTTGACGGCCTTCGAAACTTTGATGAGGTTTTCTTCGCACGTTTGGTATGGTAAACTGGTTCTCGTCCAGCTCTTGAGGAGGCCGTATAGGTAACAGAATGGAATCATTTGACTTTGATCTGAGCATTCTCACAGCACTTACGCTGCGACTGAATTGCTAGAGTCCCAGAGGAAGGAACTCGAGCAGATTGAGGAGCTGGCAAGCAAAATTAACGATGAATTTCCGGGCTCTGTGAGACTTATCGGCCCTTATGAGGAGAACCCAAAAATCCGGTTGGCATACTTTGGGCTCGGTCAGCTGTACTTGAATACTTCTGTACGAACTGGTCTTGACTGGTCTCCCTTCGAGTTCGTCATGTGCTCGGAGAAGCAAACTGCTCCCTTGTGCGTGTCTGAATTCCTAGGATGCTCCCGCGTTCTTTCGGGTTCGTTCTCTATGAATCCGTGGAATGTGGATTGCGTGGTAGACGCCGTCGAGAAAGCCTTGCAGCTCTCACAGGCAGATAGGCAGCACAGGTTGAAGCGTCTGTACCAGTTCGTATCAAATTACGACATTGACAAGTGGGCACATTCGATCCTCAACGACATCTCCAACGCTCGCAAGGAAGATAGTGGAACTCCTGGACTGGGCTTGGGCCCTGACAGTCGATTCCTTCGACTGGAAGCCAACTGTGTATATACCCATCTTGACATCCCGGAGGTTGTCGAGAAGTACAAACGCAGCAGCCGTCGTGTGATTCTGCTCGACTATGGCTCTGCGTATGCCCCGCACTCTCTGGTCGGAAATCTCATGGTGGACGCAAGAAGATACGGCGCTCGAGGCGCGACGCCGAGCCGACCTGACATGGACTTCATCGAGTCGATCAAGGCCCTGGCCAAGGACGAGAGGAACACTGTGTTCTTGCTCAGCTCGCAGGAGAAGGCCATGGTGCAAGAATGGTTTCCCAAGGAGACTTGGGAGCAGTACTGGGCAAATCTAGGGGTTACAGCTGAGAATGGCTGCTTCTACAGATGGGGAAAAGCAAACTGGGAGAACTTGACAGAGGAACTTGATCTCTCGTGGAAAGAAAGAGCAAGGAAGTTGTTGAGAATGTACACAGACAGAGTACATGGAACATACATTCAAGAAAAGGCTTGCTCGTTGGTTTGGCATTATGCTGATTGCGATCAAGACTGGGGAGCCATGCAGGCAAGGGAGCTGACAGATCACCTCGAAGACATCCTGGAGAGCGACGAGGTTGACGTCATTCCCGGCCAGTGCCGCGTTGAAGTTCGACCAAAGACAATCAACAAAGGGGTCGCCGTTGAGCTGCTTCTGAGGACGATTGAGAAGAAGAAGCCGGTCGACTTCGTCTTGTGTGTGGGTGATGATCGGAGTGATGAGGTACGTGTGTCCGTGCTCCATACGTTGTTGTTGTGACTGGTTGACAGGACATGTTTGCTTTGATCCGCGACCGTCAGAGGTTTAGCGAGCAAGGAAACTGCGCTGTCTACGCTTGTACCGTTGGCTTGCGTCCATCGCACGCTGGCTACTACCTGTCGGAGATGGCAGAGCTGCGTCAGTTGCTCAAGGCATTGCAAGACAAGTCTATCTCGGCGAATCGCTCGTACTCCACCACAGATCTGACGGTGAGTGTGTGCGATGGAGTGGGGCTTCACTCACTGGGATCTGCAGCTGCTGGACAGCCGATCCGCAGGTGGGAGCCAGGGGCCCTTGGGCAGGAGGCGGCCAACGAGTAAGAATCCATGCGTGCCTTACCTGCTCGTTGACATGGCTGCAGCTCCAGGACAGAAGCCTGGCTCTACAAACAGAAGGCCTCTGGAAGGACTGATTGAATGAGAAGTTACAAGGCAGGAGAAGGTGGAGATGCTGTAGATTTCGTGATCGGAGTGAAGTGGATTAAAGGTTGAAAGCTCGAAGGGACACTCACTGTCAGCGACTAGATCCGCCAGCAACACTCAATTTGATCTGATTTATTCAATCTGCTGCCCTTTCAAGAAGGATCATCTATTCTTTCGTCACGCTAGTCTCACTCTACTCTACTCGGCTCGGCTCGGCTCTGCTCTACTTTGCGGTGCTCTACTCTACTCTATTCACTCGTTCCTGGACTTCATCTCACAGCCGTAGAGTAGGCTGACGTGTGTCCGTCACGCTTGATCCTTGACTTGGACATGACGCGTCGAAGGTCGTCTGCGATCAGTTCGCCTTCCTGCTGTCTACACAAGCACAGGTACTCGTGGATCTCCCGGCGGATCTCATTCATCTTGGCCATTCTGTTGTTCTTCTCGTCTCTTCCGACAAAGTTTTGGGTCCGCAGATCAGCGATGGTGTCAATGAGCTGGTTGCCATTGCGCGTGAGGATCAGAATCTGGCAGTACAGCTCCTCGATCTCCAGCCCGTGCAGCGTGTCAACGAAGCTCATCCGATCCCGGAGGGCCGAACTGTCTGGGCTGACCTGAGGATCTGTATCGCTGCTCCTTCCCATGCTCTTCTCGTACGAGGACAACTTCTCCTGCAGCAGCTTCACCTGCCCTTGAAGCTCCTTCTCCCTGCACGCGGAGATCTCCTTGAACCGGTTGAACTCTGCTCGCACCTCTTCCCTCTTGGCCTCGTGGTACCTGACCTGCCTCTTCGCCTCCTCCAGCCTCGCATGCATCGCAGCCGAGCTGCCCCCTCGCTCATCTACATGCTCGCCCGCGCCTGCACTGACGGCTCCCGGCCCTTCTCCGGCTCCTCCACTGCCTCTCACTTGCAAACCCTTGCTCGGAAGACATTCGGGGGAGCGGAACTCCAGGAGCAGGGCAAAGGCTTGTCGCAGATCCCTTTCAACGCACGAGAGGAGGCTGAGGTAGTCTCTGTCCGTCAACTCGCAGTCCTGTGAGCCAAGGGAAGAAGCCTCCGACCTCCGAGCCAGGCTGAGGGGAACCCTCGTCTGCTGTCGCCTGCTCGTCCACCTCCTCTCCACCTCCATCATCTCGTAGAACAACTTCCCGCACACCTCCTTCAGCTCCTCCACCAACTCCTCCTGCGATCGAGGGGCGAAGGCATCCTTGCCCAGCAAGCACATCGAGGCCTCAGGGCGCGTCGAGATCGTTAGGCTCTTTTCCAATTCAGCAAACTCATGTTGTTGCCGCATCAATCTCCTCGCCAGCTCTCCGGCCATATGCCCTATGTCTACTGCCTCCTTCAGCAGACTTCCAAGCTGCCGGATGCAGGAGCGCTGTTCAGCCACATCCCTGTTCATCTTGTTGCACCGCTCCTCCTTCTCCTTCGTCATGAGGTACAACTCCTCGAAGCTGCACTCGGCATCCTCCGCAAAGATCTGAAGCTCCTCGTCCAAGATCGCGTTGTCCTTCTGAATGCACAAGATCTGACCCAGCACCTGATTCAGGTCGCCCTGCACCTTCTCTAGTTGATCGCTCAGTGTCAAGAAAACGCTCCCAACATCGGAAACTACAAGTTCCGCGTTGATCCAGTGTACACACCCTGAAATCTCCTTGCAACACCGTACAACTTCACATGTAAAACCTACCCTCCAGTGCTCATCTGAATGCTTCCGTTCCTCCGCAGCCCTCGCAGTCTCTACCAGAGCAAGTCGCGTCTGCTCCAGCTCCGTCCTCGTCCCCTCCAGCTCCGTCCTCGTCCCCTCCAGCTCCGTCCTCGTCCCCTCCAGCTTCGTCCTCGTCCCCTCCAGCTCCGCTCTCGTCCCCTCCAGCTCAGTCCTCGTCCCCTCTAGAGCCTGTCGCATCATGGTCTTCTCCTCCTCCACAGCCCTCGCCGTCTCCGACATCTCCTTGTGCGCCTCTGACGTGAGCCTCAGGCACTCGGCCTCCGATGCTGCCAGCGCCTTTCGGGTCTGCTCCAGCTCCGTCCTCGTCCCCTTCAGCTCTGCCCTCGTCCCCTCCAGCTCCGTCCTCGTCCCCTCCAGCTCCGTCCTCGTCCCCTCCAGCTCTCCCCTTGTCCCCTCCAGCTCTGCCCTCGTCCCCTCCAGCTCTGCCCTCGTCCCCTCCAGCTCTGCCCTCGTCCCCTCCAGCTCAGTCCTCGTCCTCTCTAGAGCCTGTCGCATCATGGTCTTCTCCTCCTCCGCAGCCCTCGCCGTCTCCGACATCTCCTTGTGCGCCTCTGACGTGAGCCTCAGGCACTCGGCCTCCGATGCTGCCAGCGCCTTTCGGGTCTGCTCCAGCTCCGTCCTCGTCCCCTCCAGCTCCGTCCTCGTCCCCTCCAGCTCCGTCCTCGTCCCCTCCAGCTCTGCCCTCGTCCCCTCCAGCTCTGACCTCGTCCCCTCCATCTCTGCCCTTGTCTCTTCCAGCTGTGTCTTTGTCTGGTTTAATTCCTTTCGTTGGCCATGCTCTGCTAGTTGAGCCGAGCTCAGAGCAAGCTCGAGATTTCGCTTCTCATTTTCTAGTTTGGATTCCCAATCATCAGCTAAAGCGTTTTCTTCTTGCACCACCTTCTCCATCTCTGCCATCTTTTGTCTTGCCTCTAGTACTTCGAGTGTGAGGCTGGAGCATTCAGCTTCTTTTTGAGCGAGGTAGTGTGTGATCTGTTCTGTAATTTGCTCAAATTGAATCTCCTTCTTCTCGAGGATTCTCAACTGGTTCTGGAATGTCGTGAAGGTCGATGTTGTTTCCTCCCTTTGGTTCTTATACCTTGACATGATTTCAGACTGAGTTCTGGAAATCGCTTCTATTTCATGCTCAAGACTTTGAAGTGCTTTTGACGTCAATAGCACTTCGGTTTCGGCTGACCGTGAAAGCTCGTTCACGAGTGTCGCCAACTCCTTGACATCAATGTCTGCCTGCTGCACCAAATATCTTGAGCTTAAAGATTTCAGGGGAACGATGACATCTGCGACTTGTTTGTCATGAAGATTCGTTAATTCCTTCAAATGGATTATTTCATCCATCAAAGCTTTTCTTTCATTCTGATTTTGTACACTCGCACTCATTTTGGAGCTTGAAACATCTTGTGCAGATTTCAGGGTCGAGAGAGCGTGTTCAATATCTGACTCCAATGCCCTGCAAATATTGCCCAGCTTGTTATCGGAAAAAGAGTAAACATTTTCCAACTTTACAGCGGATGAAGCATTTTCATCAATTACAGCTTGAAGTTTGCTGAATATCTGGTTCTCGAAGTTGGAAATGGTATCGTTCAAAGATGCTATTACTGCATACATATTCTGAGCTTCAATTTTATACATTTGCTCAGCATCGCATTTGACTTTCATAGTTTCCATGAGTTGATCACGCAAATTCATCGACTGCTTGACTTCCGAATCAAGATATTGATTTGCCTCCTTTAACACAGAGCTGCATTCTTCTGAAAGATCAGCAATCTTAGAGATCCCATTTCTTGTGGATTCAGTCAAGGTGGAGGCATTCAACACAATGAAGTTCATCTGCTGGTGTAGCTTTGCTGATTGATCATCCATCGATCGAAGGATAACTTCCATTTGATTGGAAGCTTGCCTCCAACATACCCTATCCTCCTCCATCTGGTGCTGTTCAGCCTTCACATTATCGATTGTTTGCTGCAGTACATGAGCAAGGACATGATATCCGCTCTTGCTTTCATCTAAATCACTTCGCAGCTGTTGACAGGTGCTTTCCTTCTGTGCAAGTTCCTCATGCACAATCTTTAGCTGTGCCTCGAGCGTTGAGATCTGCTTGCTGAAATCTTCTTTCTGCTGCAGCATCACTGTCTTGGATCTGTGAAGGTCATCAGTGAGTGTGGTGACCTGGACATGTTCTTTCTTCAGGGCTTGCGAGACGTCATGGCTCCTGGATCTTTCTTCTTTTAATTTCTTTTGGAGTTCTTCATTTTCGGATGACAGATCCATTACTTGCCGACGAAGATCGGAGTTGAGAGCTTGCAGCTTGGATATCTCTGTCATGGATTGATCGTTTCCTTGCTTCCATAACGCACTAGTGTCATCAAGCTGCCTCTCTAGCGATTGTAGCTCTTCTTTCAATTTGCTCCTGTGTGATCGGTCCGTCGACAGCTTCCAGGACATGAAGGCTGTTGCCTCCGCAGACTGGTATGACATCTCAGATATTGTGCTTTCCAGGCGCTGGATGATACTGCGAAGTTTGTCGTTGATGATGAGGGAGTTGTTGAGCTCTCCCACAGCATCTTGAAGCGAGGTTTCACGCCGGAAAACTCTACTTGAGAGCTCAGTCTCATGCTCAAGCTCCAACGAGGTTCTCATGTTCTCATCTTCGTCAGATGCTGAAGCACACAATCTTTCTTCTTCCATCTCTTGGATTCTAAGGGTTAGGGCATTGATCTTGTCGTTCAGGCTCCTGTTTCGCTCCAGCAGCATTTCCCCTATGTCGGTAGCGGCCATGAGATCTTGCTCTCGCTGCTGCAAGAGTTCCTGCAGTTCCTTGTACTTCTGTTCCATCTCCATCACTTCAGCTGAAGCTCGCTCAATCTTCCTACGTCCTCAGCGCACGGCGACCTCTGATCATGGCGAATTGCCCGCGCCAACCATCCTCTCAAGAAATGCAGAGCCACTAGCAAGAGGAGCCTAGTAGGAACTAAGAAGAGGGGGTAGGGGTGGTAATGGGACTCCTTGTGAAGTCACTTTGCTGGTTCGAGGGTGGGTGCC